TACATAGAATAACATGGTATTAACTTAAGTTGCAAGGGCTTGATTCAGGAAATCACTTCCGTGTGTGATTAAATCAGCCCTTATTCAAGACAGCATTTATAAATCCTTTTTTAACCTTCATCCTGTACTTTGTAAGTCCTACTGTCTTTCATGAGTTGAAGAAAGTTTCATGAGGTTAAGCAAGTACTTAAATATTGTTCTGAGAAAAGATGCTTTTGAATTGACTGGAAAACAATATATTTTTCATACATGTAGTCTTCAGTTATTTGGTCTAATCCTAGTGTTTTGCGTAATTTTCTGTCATTAAAAGAGAATGCACAGGGTCCCACAGAAGTGGCTCTGTCCCCAGAGGACACAAGTTGTTAAGATCCTTCTCACAACCTTTCTCATCTTAGTTCAGTTTCAACATGATTTTTGTTGAAAATAAAGCAACATGGGTCTTACGCCCAGCAGGACCCAAGTCCTGAGTTGTCCTTATGGCCTTTCCAATTTCACATCACAGCAGCTCTCTGAGTCTTGTCTGAAAGTATGTTTCTTCTAACGGTAGAGCCATGGTTTAAGTGGACTCTTGCTCATTTGTATAAGCCTGGTGCTACAATTTCTTTTCCCTACAATTGCTCTCCCTACAGTTGTGCTGGTATGGCAGAGGTGGCAACATATACCCAGCAATAGAGAAAGTGAGAACCTCTAAAACTAGTTCTTCTCTTGCACTAAAGCTGAAATCTTGCCCTGCGAAGCTGCTGCCCCACAAGAAGTGAAATAGGAGAGGATGTGAAGTTAGGGTGAGAAAGATGGAAGGGTTGCAAACAGCTTAAGCTTAGATCAACTGGTAACCTCTCAAAGAGGCAGGACAGACAGATAATGTTTCCATATGGACTTGTGCACATCAAGTTTGTGTCGCAGCCTGGCCTTTACCACTCCCAACCTCCCTGATTCAGGAGAGGATGTTTGCATGTGCAGCTGCGTGTCTAGTGTCGCTGTGTGTTGCTTACTCAGCAACTGCAGCCCAGAAGGGACTGATACTGGCCATGGGTGACCAGCACAGTGGAGATGTGGGAGCAGGGACTGTTCACTGGTAATAACATCACCTCCTAATGGGAGATAAACAGCCAGGAGTTGATTTGAACAGTAAAGACAAATATTGTCCTGCGCTCTTGTAAGGAAGAACTGCATCTGTTTGCCAAGCTGTGCAGCACCAGGAGACAGAAACCTGCAGTGGGGAGGAGGAGGGGGTGGTGAAGGCTATGGGAAGGGATCTGTGAAAACCAACTGTTACTTTTGCAAACAGCAGTCAAGAAACTGGTTTCCTTTAATAGCCATAATTGTTGTTGCACTAGTTAGGTGAGAGCACGCACGTGGATGCTTGCTCATGCTCAACTCACACCTTGGCTTTGTGTGGAGACATGCCTGCCGAGCGTGGGGACATCGCGCTGTTGTGTGATTAGGTGCTGCCTTGAGCAGATGCCAAAGCAATGCTATTTTGAGATGTTCAGCAATTACAGTTCCACCAGCCAAAACCAGCTGAAGCACCCAAAGATGCGCTGGGTTTCTCAGCCTGCGGTTAGAGAGGCTGGCATTAGCCTGGGTTCAGGCACAGGCCAGTCTCCTTTGCAGGCTGTGCACAGTGTTTTCTCCCTGAGATGTGTGAGTTTCCAAGGATTTCACCAGCGCAATTGCAAGAGCTGGAGGTGAAGAAATTTCTCCCTGGGATCAAATTGATATACAGCCAATATGTGACCCTTGCTTAAACAGAATTTCCACTGAGGTCGTGCACAGAGGCACTGCAGTCCTGCAAAATCTTAAAGCCTGCAGGGTTTCTGTATTAAACTGCTCTGTTGAAAGCAATCTCTGATATTCTGTTACTCCAGCCAGTGCAGTAGGAAAGAGCAGGCTGCGATTCGAGAGCGGGGCTGTCTGTAAAAATGTTTACATACAGTAAAAGAACTGCTGTCAGTCAATCTAATCACTCATTGTGTTTTCATGCCAGCTTGCTAGTGAAAATATTTTGAGCTGTGTATTTGTTATGATGCCTTTGGGTATTATTTGCCGAATTTAAACTTGTTTTGTTGCAGAAAATAGGAGATTAGGTGAAAGAGCCATGTCCCTCAATCATTGCTCAGATGATACTCATGCTAATTTCAGTTTTTCAGACTGCTGTATTTAACGTATGGCTCCTGTGCTTAGACGCCAAAGCTGGAGCCAGAGCTGTGTAGATACGACCTAGTTTTTAGTCAGTAAAGTCACTCTTTATTTTTTGTTGAACAACAAAACAAGCTACTTCTGTTTTGACATAACGATTTGGAAATTTTACTCTTTGTTTATGACTACTGATGGGACAAAACTTTCAGAAGTATCAAAGTCTTGTTGGGAGCCATTAGGGCTCTTAAGGCACAAAGTGTCTTGGGAATTTTATTTGGTATTTTGCAGACAAATATTAACCGAGGTCTCTTCCCTGTGGTGTCCAAAGGCTCAATTCTGCCAAGCCAGGCAATTATGCTAGATGAGAGGAGAGGTTTGCAGGAACTCCTTTCCTCTCTGAAGCATTGAGGTTTGTTTTTTTTCGCACTGGTTTCACAGAAGATAAGGGGTCTAAGCAGCAAGCAGGATGCTGTCAAGCAAAGTCATGGTGCTGCATCAGTGTGAATGAAAGCAAAATTAGGGCTTTGCTGTCAGAGGGGATGAAACAACAGCAAGAATTTCCTGGCAGAGATCTCTTTGCCAGCTTCCTATTAGGTTTCATTCACTTAATGCATTTTGGTGCATACATTCAAATATTTCTCTGAGAAGTGAAGGGCTGTAATTCAGTCAGTCAAGTTGCACCTTAGTCTCTGTGCCTAGTCAGCAGAAAAAAATATAGGTCCTCTAAAGAGTAACTGAGGGGTTTAGTAAGACACTGAGCAGGGAAGCTGTCAAGAGCCAGGTAACAGGAGGTAACAGGAGGTGTACAGCAGAGAGGCTTAGCCTGGCTGAGTCTGTTGAATATCAAGATCATGGGTACACAGGAATTTTCTCTCACATTTCCTTAGTTTCTGCACTGATGTCCTATGTGCGCAGCGCCACTGCTTGCTGTACTGCAGAGTCCAGAGCCTGTGGAGAGCAGCCTGGCTTTGCTTCGCCCCCCTCCTCCCTGCTGCATTTCTGAATGTTTGACAGATCTGCCAGCCCCACACTTGGGGACTGTGATGTCTCTTTAGGTGACCCAGGGCCAGGGCTGAGGTACCTGACCATTACACATAGGTGGAAGAAAAAGCATTTGGATGGTGCCTCTAGTTTTCAGGGACATGTATAGGATAATGTCTCGCTCTTCCAGCCCTGGCCACAATATCTCTGCTGGGCTGCCTGCAACTGGGAGAGGTGGGACACATAAAGCCATGATGCCTCTGCTGCAGAAGGTTAACATTCTCTGCAGTGGAATACACTTCAGTATTTGGAGCTATAATAATAGATCCCACAGTCTGAGAGTCAGACTGTCTGGCAAATGCATTGATAACTTGACAGATCTATTGACTGGGGAAGATGATGAAGGAAGAAATGACTGCTCCTCACTGATCGTTTCAAAACCTTCAGTGATGCTAAAGAACATTTGTAAGTCACAGCAAGTTAAATATGCTACATGACCTAACCCCACTCTTGCTAATTAGTATTAGACAGATACTGGAGCATCTTTACATTGCTGCCTTCCTGTTTGCTCTGTAAAATCGTTCTAGTTTTGATGGATGATCTCTCTCAAGTTGTTTCATGAGCAAATACTTTGAAGCAGGTCCTAATCAAAGAGCTAAAGCAGGAGTTTCTACATCATCCAACATCTTTTTAAAGTTTAAATACATTAAGATCAAAGCAGTTTATCGCCTAATACACTGTCCAAGAAGGTATTCAAAACCTCAATCAAAATAAAGTTGAGGAATTCACTAGCTGTAAACTTCTGTCACTGTTTTATGTTGTCAGGTCATTTAATATTTCAGAGTTAATGTACTGAAAATGTCTAACTTGTAGCCTTCAGGCTGTTTTGTGGTTGCTGATGTTGCAATGAGAGATGGTACTTTTAAAGGAACAAGTTATGTTTATGTTGCTAAAGCTGGATTTTAAATAGTCACCTGTCCAATTCAGCAAAACTCTTGTAATTTCATTACTACCTCTGCTATAGTTCTAGTCTAATTCTGTACAAACTTTGTCCAGTAAAAAGATTGAGATGGTTTGTTTGACTTCAGGCACGTTCACTTGATGCCATTCCAGTAAAAGTAAAGTATCATTGGTAAAACTGGAATCTTAGAAGATAAATATTTGCATGTCTTTCAGAAAGAAGTGTCTCTTAGACTGTTTTTTTATCATCCCTGTCTGTAATTGTACAGTGGCTGTGTAAGAGTAACTTTAGTCACCAATGTGAAGCAACTGTTTTGGGGCAGAAACTGGAATTGTAAAACTACTAAAATTTGGGATGAAAGATAAAGTTCCAAACTCCAAACGAAGTTCTGAACTCTACTTGATACCTATTCTTTAGCTGAAATTTCATCTTTCAGTGTGCTCTGTAGCATCAGACAATTTTATAAGTGATAAAGTTACAGACAATATTTGTATTGGAAACCACAGAGAAATATCAATCCTAAAAGAAATTGATGGCAACACTTACACTGTAGGAGCAGTGTAGATGCCTCAAGCCCAAGCAGGAGTTACCCAGCTCAAGGATTGCTGCCAGTGCCCATCTGCATCTTCAACTTGCAGCAGACCCTGGTGGCAGGCAAATGGGAAAGGGCTGTCCCACGAGCAGCCGACTTCCATGTGCTCTGTCCTGCTACCACCTGGTGAAGACCAGGTCAGTGGAGGTGGGGACGGCAATCATTTCCCCACTGTTCAAACTCACCTCGGCCACTGTATACGTGCCTTGTATTTGCTGATGTCTGAAGTGCTGTTGCTACATTGAATATGCTGTTTTTTCTTGCAGCGCTGAAGCCTTTGTGGGTTGATTGCCAAGTTAATGATCTATACCTTAATGCTCCATTTAGGGCCCTCGTGTTTATCGCTCATGGCGCTGGGGAACACTGCGGCCGCTATGATGACTTGGCCCAGAGGCTGACAGGACTTAACTTGTTTGTTTTTGCCCATGACCATGGTGAGTAGCCCACAACAGTACTTGATTTACAGCAGCTCAGGACTTTACTGAAGTAAATGCCATTAAAGCTACTCAGCAGTGAGAGAAGAGTCAATCAATATTTACACGTTGACATAAATAAGAAAGGGATCATCTGTTGCTTTGTAAGGATCTGCATATTGAATCTGTGAAAAAATATACCTTTTTACCTTGAGTTTTCCTCATCCTGGTCCTTGACATTACTGCTGATGCTATATTAACCTCTCTGTAGGGAATTATTTCTTTTTCACCTACCTCTTGTGGTGTCAAGAGTCCACTGCGGAAGCAGTGGAGCCATTTGTGCTGAATTCATGGTCGATGTCATAAATGAGTCCAAAAGGGAGGCTGAAATGACAGCATAGCTTTCATATACAGCTGCACCCCTGGGACGTGGAGAGGCATGGAGTCATCACAGACCTGTCTTGGGACACATTTCTGCAGTCTAGCAGAGACACCAGAGCTGGCTGTGCATACCTCAGCTCTGCTGAGAAGGTAGCTTGAGTGTGTGCAGGGCTGCAGTAACACAGCACCTGCACCTCAGCCCTCAGCCAGAAGGTCTGGGCAATGCTGTGCTGTGCGGACTCACTGTCCCAGCCTCTTCTGTCTTGAAGATCTCTGCTCTGTGCTTCATCCTGTAATGTAGATGTGCTGGGTATCACCAGATATCCTGCAGCACATGGACTAGCACATCCTGATAACATAATTGAACCATCTATCCTGTTTTTTCAGCAGCCTCCTGTCACACCTGACTCTTGCAACTTCACGGCTTCCCTGTGCTTGGAAGTCTTTGCTTTGTTTTTATTGTTGCAGCTCACTACCTCCCTGCGAGAGTCACTCTAGGTATTAGCAAAATGAATCAATGAGATTAATGATGGCAATGGACAAAAGGCAAGGCCCAATTCTGAACTCACAGGTTGAAATGGGATGAATCTCAGGTCATGTAAATCTGATCTCCTGACAGATCATCCACTAACATTGGAAAGTATTGCATTGATGCAATACATTGGACACTACAGTGCAATATGCTGGAAACTATACTGCAATTTACTTGGTTGAAGCTGAGGCTCAGACCTGCCCCTAGATCTCTTCAAAGACAGAACTACTTAACTGGAGCTTGAAGATCCTGAATGCAGTTGAGGCATTGCACCATTTAGTCTGTGAGAGGGAGGGTAAAACCCCACTGAATCCAAATAACCAAGGCTTCCCCTCACACTTGCTCTCATGACTCCCTTTAAATCACAGCACAGACATGGTTGAAATGAAGCCCGTATTTTCCCTGAGAAAGCAAATACCTAGTCCTCAGGACAGCTTGCAAGGAAAATAAATAAAACCCCTGTGATTTTTCTGGACAGCAAATCATGTGCCATATTCAGGGCTGGCTCTACAAGGACAGTTGACCCACGCAGAGGTGTCGTTACTGACGACATCAGTCTCCCCCTAGATAGGCATGATATTTCTAAGTGTTGATTCATTCATTTCGATATACTTCCCAGTTGGACGTAGACTGGCAGGAATCTCCAGTAATCCCAGTAGAAAGTGTCTCCATTCCTCTATTTATCTGTGTGGCATAAAGTTCATGAGAAAGGCGATGGGACAGGCCACATGCTGTCCTTTCTGCAGCTGCTCTTAGTAAATCACAGACAATATTACAAAAAAAATTACTGAACCCCAAGACAAACCAGCTGTCTGTTGAGGTCCTGTGGGCCTGTGAGAGGCTGCGGTTGCTCACTGTGCCCGGTTAACGTTGTGACCTCGTTCCTCATTCCCGTAAAACTTGATAATGGTTTTCAGAAGCAGAGTTGAAATAACACTATTTGAAGAAACAAACTTAGTAGAAATGATAAAACATTGTATTTATCACATGGACTTGATATGGAGAAGGGCCTTTGGGGTAAAGGATCTTGTCAGGCAGTATTGTGAGACAGATACTTGCTTTCTTTTTCCTTGAATGTATTTTTCACTAGAGAAGCATAAATATTTTATGTTTTTTCTATAGACTGATGTTGCTGGATTAATTAGTTCACTTCAATTAGTACAAATCTGGTTGCTCAGGCAGGCTAACGACTTGATTTTCCCAGTCAAACCTACAGTTTTCTTTTAAATTCGGTTTGGTTTTCTTCATCAGCAATGGGGAGAGGGTAAAGAGGAACACAAAAGCAGAACAATGGAAACAGAGTCGTGTTACACAAAGAGCTAATTTGACTGAGCCTAGATTCACTGTAAGTTAGAAAGACAAGAAACATATTTTAGGCGCTGTAAAATAATTTTTGCACTTAAAGAGGTAAGCGTTGAGGCTAAACTTTGTTTGGTGGATTAGAGGTTACAGCCTGAGCTGGATGCCAGCAAGAGCTGAAGGACATAAACACCTCTATTGCCAAATTTGCTCAAATCAGACTAGGAAGTTTATAATTTTTCTCCACCATTTTATCTATTCTAAATCACTTCTACAGTGTGTTCCTCCTTTGCATCTCATCCTTTGGATATCTTTGGGTTATATTAATTAATTATTCAATTGTTTTAGCAAAATAATTGCTTTCTGTTCCCCACTGCTTATGCTGGCTCTTAGTCTTCTGAGCTTGGCATAGATTTTCTGACCTGGACATTTGTTCTGGTTCTGGCATTCTTGTGGATAAAATTCCCAATTTAGGCACATTACCCATGAGATTATTAATGCAGTTCCACAGCGTGGCTAGCATGATTTCCCAAATGAGTTGGGAAGTTACTAGGTCTGTAGCATGCGTGACTTGACTGATTTATGTTGTGTCTATCCTTCAGTCAAAAGAAGGAAAAATAATTTCCATTTATATTGCTGAGTCTGTAGGAGCTCACACAGTGGCTCTAAATCTTGCCGAAGGCTGCTCTGCACCACTGTTTCCTGTTACGCAAGGCTTCAGCAAAAGGATTGGCGCTTCACAGAGTAACGATATTCACCAAACTTCTGTCTTGGTGTTGCCTCACATAAAGTATCATGGGCTCACTTTTCTTAGTGTGTGAGGTTTTGTACCTTTACTCTTTGGGGTGTTTCATAGTAATCTCAAGACTGCTGGACCTCATAGATACATATTGAAAATATTCCATCATGATAGTGAAAATTTAACTCCAGAAGACCCCTTAATCCTACCTTACATCTGAAACTATTAAATTCCTTTATTTTATGTTAATCCCATGGAAGAGGAAAAGGGTATTTCTTTGTAATACAGTGGTTTTTCCTGTGGTCTTTTTTTAATAAGTAGGGGTTTTTTTAATAAGTAGGTAACTCTTCCCCATGATTTCTGGGTTTGCCTGGCATGCAGCTTCATGAAGGCAGAGTTAAGGCTGCTGGGATGACCTTGTTATGCATTTCTGCAAACTTTAGGTATTTTGAAATGAAATCTCGCTTTTTCAATTCCTTTTCTATATTACTATTATTTTTTTTTATGGCAACATTCTGATGATGGAAAAAAGATACAGACAAACATATTAGGTTATTTGCAATCAATTTAGGAAAGCCCTCTTAGAAGGAATACCCCTGGGAGATTCATCAAACTGGAATGGTATTGTAATTCTTCATTCAGGCACAGGCAAATTGCAGCTCCTTTAGTTATAATGCAGTATTTATAGGGATCTGTAAAACTGAGAGCCAAGGAAAATGAGAATAAAGGATAGAAAATGTGGCTTTGTTTTCTCGTACCAAGCATTTTCAGTTGGTAAAGCACATGATGTTCCAGCCATGCTCATCTCTCTTCCTATAACATCTCATTTGCTGAGATCTTATTCTCTATGGTTGCATTACATGGCCAGAGCCCAGAACAACCGCAATTTCACCTTCAAAAGTACATGTCAACTAATAGCAGTTACAAAAGCATTTCCAAGATGCGAGGGCCACAAAAATGTGTTTTACTTCTCACTTGCACTTTTTATCAGTGGGAGCACTGGCCCTCCTTTTCACTTAGACTTGCTGGTGCTTCTTGGGGGTAACATGGCTGGACGAAGCCCCTCCAACCTCCCTCTCTCTCCAGGTAGAATAAACCCTCTACCTGTCTTGGTATACAGAGACCTCTGGCTCGCTGACCCTCTTTGAAGCTGTTGAATTTCTCACTCTCGAATTATGCGTAACGTCAGATCAAAGCAGAGGGAAAGGTTGCAGCTCTAACAGCTTATTCATATTCCTTAGATGTTTCTAACCGAAGCTCAGCTTTCTTTTTGAGCCCCGCCGCTACTTCGTGTGTGGTGAGCATTTCTGATGGGTTAGCAGGTCCCTCTCAGACTCCTACTGCTGCTTGTGCTCCCCATTAATTTTCTCACTGTTTTCTCTATTTATCAAAGCACTTATTTCTAAACAGTAGGAAATAGCTGGAACAGAGATTTTTAAATGCATCAAATATTAGCTGGTTTTGGTTTGTGTTGCGTTTTTATTTTTTTCCAAGTGATTGCTATGTTGTTCTTGCAACTGTTAAAAGACCATTTTGTTGATGAGAACAGAAGGCTTTTATTTATTCATAGCACTGGGAAGGATTGATCTACACAGAAAGGTTAAAAAGGACTAAACATGGTCAAATTGGGAAGGGGAAGATGACTAAGAAGGATGTCAGCATTAATAAGAAAAAGAATTAGGGTAGCACTGAGAGTGAGAAGTGACAGCTCATGCACATCAGCGTGAGGGAATGTTCCTGGAGAGCAGCACTCCCCGATGATGTGATCAGGCAGGCTTCGGGTGATCTCCAGGGATGGAGATGGGAAAGCCTTGGCAAGCGTTCTACAGAGCTGCTTTCCTCACAGAGCAGCACAACTCTTCCTCGGTGACTGTCAGCAAGGCTGGGTGTGGGCCCGCTTACCCATAGCAATCTGTTCTCTTTCCGTCTCCTCCAACTGAGCCTGCCTCGCTGGAGCAGGAAAAGTTTAAACTGCTTTTCTACAGAGGCACAGGAAAGAATGGCACTCATCTGCATTTCCTTTGGCAGGAGGCTTAGAATGGGTTATGGGCATTTTTTTTTCCCCCAGAG